CTGTCTCTACTAAAAATACAAAAATTAGCTGGGCATGGTGGCGGGCACCTGTAATCCTGCAATCCAAGTTACTTGGGAGGCTGAGGCAGGAAAATTGCTTGAACCCACGAGGTGTAGGTTGCAGTGAGCCGAGATCGTGCCACTGCACTCCAGCCTGAGCAACAGACTGAGACACCATCTCTAAATAAATAAGTAAATAAAACATAGTATTTGGTAGCACACAGGATGACTATAGTCAATAATAATTTATTATACATTTAAAAACATTTATTATACATCTAAAAACAACTAAAAGAGTAAGATTTGAATGTTTGTAACCAAAGAAATGATAAATGCTTGAGATATCCCATTTGCCCTGATGTGTTTATTATGTATTGTATGCCTGTATCAAAATATCTCATGTACCCCACAAAAAAGACATCTACTATGTACCCACGAAAATTCAAAATTAAAAACAAAAATAATCACTGCATGTTTAAGAGATACCAATGGACATTAAAGAGGCTAGCAGGAAAGCCCAGACGAGGGAGGAGAGGATGCTGGCTCAGGTGAAGACAGGCCAGAGAAATTTCTAAGGCTGAGAGAAACCCTGTTTTCTTTCTTTCATATATCCCTGCAGGCAGCTGGCCTCTCCAAGGAAGACCACCATTGTCCACAGTGACGAAAAGTTTCTGGAGATGTAATTGCCTCTTTACTCTGAGAGAGGATTGTGTATCCATATCCCAGATGTAGCATGGATTTTTTTCCAGATTTATACGATAAAATGGAAAATGTAACATGTTGGTCTTTGGACTATAGTGATAGATGCATTTTTTTTTCCCTAAAAAACTTTTAAGCGCAGAAAGCTTTGAATTGACAAAAAGCAAGATCCTGAGGTAACGCTATTTTATTCTTCCAACTAGTTATTCAAAGGTATATTTTATAATTTTAAACTTCATGGATAAATTCACAGATACTAGGTTAACATAAGAGTAGTGAACTACCTACCCATTAAACTTAACATGCAGTTAATATGAGTTACTGCAAGGCTACTAAATCTCGATTGTCCAGTGAACAATAACATGTAATCTGCATACAAAAGATTTTTGTAGTTTGTCAAATACTTTTATATTTTATGATTTGATATTCACTGCAGCCTTATGATATAGATCTTACTAGCATGCACTTTATTGATAAGGAAATATAAGTTCAGAAAAAAAGAATAAATGACTTCCTCAAGCCACATAGATTACAAGCAAAAGCATGAAAACAGAACTCCTCTTTTCAAAAATTATTTTCTTTCCATAATGCTTCCCTGAAATGTGCTTCACTGCTTTTACATAGGCATATATATTCCCTGGAGAAAACATGGCTGCTTTTGATTCTATTTTTGTCATACCATGACACTACCAGTTTTCCCTATACGCAGCACCCTTGATGTCACAGGGCAGCAATATGCTTATGTCTGCTTGGCTACAGACACTCACATAAGGACAGAGAGGCATCATGCACAAGCACACACTTCAGAGTTCCCCACAGGAGAGCATTACTTCTCATTTGTCCCAACTGTACCTGCAGGATTTTAATTTATGGAGATAACTGAGTGATGACATAGAAAGCCCAATGTAATTGAAAGATTTTTGTTACTTACATTTCCTGAGAGGGGAGGCTCACCACATCATGCAAGGACATGTGGGTAAACACCAGGAGGCACAAAGGAGTGAGTGGAAGCCATAGTCTTTACCGGCGTATCTGTGGGAAAGGCAAGGCAGGGCAGGCCAAACAGTTCAGAACTGGATAATTTGAATGATTCCAGCTGGTTAAGGGGGATGGGGCAATCCCTAGTTGTCCGACACCTGGCTTCAGGTTAATTTAGAGCAGGTGAATATTGGCTTGGTGCATGAGAGTTAAAGCAAGGAATTAGTTTCAGAGGATGAGTTCTGGATACCAAGGAGGATGCAAACAACTTTGGCCATTAGTTTGGCCTTGTGATTAATGGATGCCAAAAAGACAAACATAAATCTAAGAAAACAGAATAGGGCAGTAGATTCATAAATCATATATTTTTTTAAAATATAGGGATCCCGCTTTTATCTGCAGCATACCCTACGTTTCTCCATGTTTAAGTCCTCTACTGCCAGGTAGCAAACTATCCCAGAACTTTGTGGCTTACAGCAACTGGCATTTGATTTGTTCATGATTCTGTGGATCATAAATTCAGTTAGGGCTCAGCTGGATGGTTTTTGTTTTTGTTTTGTTTTGTTTTGTTTTGTTTTTTTTGCTTTATATATAGTCTGTTGAGGTTATTCACTCAGCTGCATTCAGGTGGTGGCGCTGCTAAGCTGGAAAGTCCAAAAAAGGAGCTTCGGTCTTATGTTTTTTTCACTGTTGCTGCTCCTCCACATGCTCTCTCTTTCTCTACGTGGCTAGCTTAAGCTTCTTCACAGTATAATGAACCCATGGTAGTTAGACTTCTTATATATGGCAGCTGGCTCTTAATGGGAAGCATACCAAGTGGCAAAGGCTGAATCTTCAGTTATTTAAGGCCTTGTCTCATAAATTTTAAGGCACTGCATCACATTCTGCTTGTCAAATCAAGTCACAGGGCCACCCCAGATTAATAAGGCAGGGAAAATTGTTTCTACCTCTCTCCTGAATGGCAAAGAATTTGTGGTTACCTTCAATTCACAACACTCATTCTGCTTCATGAACAACTGAGTCTAGATCAAAGTAACTAGCCAATCTAAAAGGGAGGCTATTAAACATTTAAAACAAAACAGGCAAACACAGATTTATAATAAATCATTTTCTTAAGATCCCTAAGAATAAATTTAACATGATGTCAGATATTTCCTAAAATATACAAAAATGGGAGAAACATAACATTTGTATAAGCTCTTGTATAATCAATGTGACCAAACATATTAAAATAAGTAGGCAAGAGAAAAACTAAACAACAACCATCTAGTGCAGCACGCTGCTGGCAATAAATTCTATATTATGGTAATACAAAAGCCTACACATGAAAAATACAAAATACTTAATATAAGACATTAATTCATAAAAATCTTTCAGTTATAGAAATCTGATTTTCTAGTATTATATCTGGAACTATGAGTTTATTTGGCATCATGTTTTTTCTACATCATCTAACAAACTGAAGAGTTGAGTCTCCTTAGAGAAAGGGAGAGAGAGAACAAGAGGGCAAAATTTGAATTTTCGGCAATCTTATTAAGTGATATTTTGTGAGGATAAGAGGTCTGAAGAATGTTCCTTTTTTATTTTAACACATCAATATTATTTATTTCAACCGTAAGAATACATTAATTTAGAACATTAATAAACATGTAAAAATGTTTCCAGGCACTTTAATAAGCTGGAGATGGCAAAGATAGGAGGGAGGAAGTTGTCCCTCTTCATTCCTTTCTCTAGGCCAGAGGGCTATTGCCCTCCAAATGCAGTCCAGACTGCACCTGGCTATAGAAGGAAATCTACAGGAAGAGATCTGGCTCTTGGCAGCATTCATGCAGTCCTCTCACAAATACTTTCCAAAGCTGCTTTCTGTTCCTGACTGCATATTTGAGTGCCAAGTTAGTTTACCCAGTTGATGTGTGCATACTCATCTGGTGGCTCAAGAATCATGGGAAATTTTCATGTTTATTTCAAGAGATTTTTACAGCCTGGATTCTTGATGCGTTCCAGGGCAGGGTTTGAAGCCTGGAAGATGGTGGCAGTGAGTGCCTTGGGCTTGTGCTCTTGCCAAATGGTGGAGACTAAGCCACCCTTAGGGTGTTCCAAGCCAGATCTGTCCTGATAAATTTTATGAGCCTGAGACAAGTACTCCCTATGAGTACTTGTCACAGGGAGTACTTGTGTCTGCCTCCAGCATATTCACCTAAGTGTAAAGGAACATTTAAGGGCCACTGAGAGGGGGGAAAGAGAATGAGGAAGGCAACATGCAGGCATAAGCAGGGTGAATGGAGAAGAAAGTGTGGAAGGAAGACGGTTAACATGAGCATTAAGATTCTACTTGTTCTATCAGCTGATACTACCCACCTCTTCCTGACTGCTTCCCTTGTGAGTCAGTGCTAAGCTGCTTGTCTCCATCCCCTTTCTCCAAGCTGAGAAGTACCTCCCAAAGTCACTGCTCAGTTCTGGGCACAGTTTTGGCCAGGACATTTCCTGTCTTCCAGCATCTCAGAGCACACTCAGAGGGAATACTAGTGGTTGCCTCATCTAGTTTCCTCCCTGAATCTCTTTGCTGTGAAGCTGTAGGAAGAAAATGAGGGCAGCATCTGCCTAATCATCTTTGATTCCCCACTAGACCTGCCTGGGTCCACTGAAGTCACAAGGGTCCAGCACATGGTGTAAGGGCAAAGGCTTTAGAGTTAGAGAGGTTGGCATGATGGTATAGCACCATCAACCTATTGCTTTATTAGGTTGAGGTAAGTCTTTATCTCCTGGGTCTCTGGCTCTAAAATGCCCATTCACATGTCTGGTCCTTGGGTGTGAGTCATTGAGACAGCCCTGCCCAGTGTCTGCTATAGAAAGTGTGCTCCTAGGAGTAGAACCCTGAGTACTCTTCCTGGATTAGGGCCTGGATATGAAAGGTGGAGCTGGACACTACCTCTGTCCCAGTAAGGCCCATCCTGTACTCTGAACTGTAAATGGGCACGATGGCCAGAGACCTACTTTCCACATTTCCCATCCCTCCCCTTCAATCCTCACACTGAACGTTTATGGAGGAGGTAGTAAACACTGCCAGGTGCTGAAGATAAAATTAAGAGTGGATCCCTGCCTGCCCTCAAGAAACTTCTCTAGCAGCAGGGCTCATAGCACATGAGAGGCCAAAGACTCATATTCCTCCTCTTTTTTTCTCACTGCCCATCCTTTCACCAGTGTGATCTTCCCGTGTCCCTACTTGGGTCTTGGCCCTGTTTCTCTGCTCTCTCCCGGCCTCCTACTTCCATGGATGATCATTCAATTCTGTCATAAAGGATTGAATCACTGAATTTCTTTAAAAATTTACTCAGCCAGTTTTATACATCAGTCATTGTTTCACAATTGAGACTGATTCATGATCAGAGATAAAATACACCAAACAATTTTTTTTTAAACAGAGTTTCCCTCTTGTTGCCCACGCTGGAGTGCAATGGTGTGATCTTGGCTCACTGCAATCTCTGCCTCCCAGGTTCAAGTGATTCTCCTGCCTCAGCCTCCCAAGTAGCTGGGATCACAGGCGCCTGCCACCACACCTGGCTAATTTTGTATTTTTAGTAGAGATGGGGTTTAGCCATGTTGGTCAGGCTGGTCTTGAACTCCTGACCTCAGGTGATCCACCCACCTCGGCCTCCTAAAGTGCTAGGATTATAGGCATGAGCCACTGTGCCTGGCCTTACACTGAACGACTTGAAGAGTATTTTTTGACACTTTGTGCAGCCATAGCTTCTAATTTTTTTTTTTTCAGCATCTGCACTCTGAGCTTATTTTACTTGCCAAACATTAATGAAGCCTCTGCTCTGGGCCAGAACTTTTCTAGGCATTAGGGATATAGCAGGTAGCAAAGGCAGTGTTTCTTTGACTTATATATTGTAAAATAGAAGCAGATGATGAGCAAAGTGCTATTCGACATGTTGGCCAGTAGCACAATAAATGGTTATGTAGATAAATGAAGCAGAGTAAAGGGTTAGAAATTGGTGGCAGAGAACAGGGTGCTCTGATAGGTCCGGTGGCCAGAAAAGTTCTCTCTGAAAGCAGTAGGAGAAGGAGTCAGGCAGCCAACTGGGACGACAGTCTTGCAAGGCAGAAGGGATAGAAGGTGCAAAGGCTACAAGGCCAGAACTACTTGACGTGTGAGAATCAGCAAGGACAGTGATTAGAGCACAGCAGAAAATGGGAAGAGGCATAGGATAGAAGGAAGGGCTTTGTAGACCTTGGCTGCAACTTTGCTCTTTATTCTGAGGTGAAACTGTTGGATGATTGTGAGCAAGGGAGTGAAGGGATCTAATTTTTGTTTTAAATGATTCCCGTGGCTACTTTATGGATAATATACTATAGGAAGAAAAAAAGCAAAAGCTGAGTGATGAGTTGCAGCAATGTGTGAGAAAGAAAGGCTGGGGGATCAGGGTGGCAGTGGTAGAAATGGCAAGACATGATTGAATTGGCAATGTATTTGAAAGCAGAGCCAACAATTCATGATGGCTCTAGGATCTGAGATCCATTTAAAGTAGAAAAAGAAAATTATTTAAAAACACACACATCTGGGCCGGGCGCGGTGGCTCACGCCTGTAATCCCAGCACTTTGGGAGGCCGAGGTGGGTGGATCACGAGGTCAAGAGATCGAGACCATCCTGGTCAACACGGTGAAACCCCGTCTCTACTAAAACTACAAAAAATCAGCTGGGCATGGTGGCGCGTGCCTGTAATCCCAGCTACTCAGGAGGCTGAGGCAGGAGAATTGCCTGAACCCAGGAGGCGGAGGTTGCGGTGAGCCGAGATTGCGCCATTGCACTCCAGCCTGGGTAACAAGAGCGAAACTCCGTCTCAAAAAAAATAAAAACATTTTAACAGTTCATTTTTAAGTAGAGAATAATACCCGGTGGCTAGTGGCACTAGTAGCAGAACAAGAAATAGAGAATAAAATGTGTGGGATGCCTGCAATTGGTTATTGGATGCTGATTTTGCAGAACTTTTTATATCTTGCTATTTAGATTTTTTTTTTAAGGTAGGTATACCATATTATTTCCCAATTAAGTAAGTCACTGTTTAAATATTGCCTTTTTCATGAAAGGCAGGATCCCCTGAGGGTCTTCATGACCCTGAAAGGAAGTGTGACTCCCACAGTGCAGCCAGCAGTGTCAATACTTCGCTAAGTGAGATTTAAACAAGAAAGAAAATGCGTTAATAAAACATCACGACAAGAGAATCCAGTGGCCACAGACCCACGAAGGAACACTGAGTTGTGCGAGTTGGCTAGGTAGAAGAGTGGTTAATTCTTTCAGCTTGAACAAGTGTACCTTCTCTGAGACCGGATTCAGCGCTCGCCAGGTCCTCTGCTAATTCAGGCCCCACATCCAGGAGCTCTGGCAGCCGACCGCAGCCTTTAACTGCCCGCCTAGAGAGCTACCACAAGCCGGCGGGCGGTTCAGCGACCTACTTCATCCTCGTCCTAGCCAAGCCCTCTGTGTCTACACTCTTCCCATCCCGGCCACGCCCCCACGCTGCGGCGGCCCCTAGGCTGGCCACGCCCCTCCTGCGCCACGCCGGCGCAGCGTCCGTCCGAATGGCCTCGTGGGCGGGGCTTGCGTAGCCTCCCGGACTCTGGCGCGCACCGCCCCCCGCCCCTGGCCCTCGCGCGCCTCCTTGGACAAGCACTTCCTGCGAGGCCTCCGTACGCACCTTGTCCGAGCCGAGCCGAACCGAGCCGAGCCCTGTCCTTCCAAGCCGTTCGCCATGGTGGATGAGCTGGTGCTGCTGCTTCATGCGCTCCTGATGCGGCACCGCGCCCTGAGCATCGAGAACAGCCAGCTCATGGAACAGCTGCGGCTGCTGGTGTGCGAGAGGGCCAGCCTGCTGCGCCAGGTACGTCCGCCAAGCTGCCCGGTGCCCTTCCCCGAAACGTTTAATGGCGAGAGTTCCCGGCTCCCCGAGTTTATCGTGCAGACGGCGTCTTACATGCTCGTGAACGAGAACCGATTCTGCAACGACGCCATGAAGGTGGCATTCCTAATCAGCCTCCTCACCGGGGAAGCCGAGGAGTGGGTGGTGCCCTACATCGAGATGGATAGCCCCATCCTAGGTGATTACCGGGCCTTCCTCGATGAGATGAAACAGTGCTTTGGCTGGGATGACGACGAAGACGACGACGACGACGAAGAGGATGATTACTAGGCCTTAGACCCTCGGGCCTAGGGGGGAGGGCCCTGCACGCCGCCACCCCCTCCCTCCAACCCTCACCCCACCGGGAGCCACTGTTCTCCGCCTTGCCCTCTGGTCCCCTTCCCTACTCGCGCCCTTCTGTTATCTCTCTTCGTTTCTCCGTAGTGCTTGTCTTTGTTCCAGGAATAGTGTTCCATTTACCTGCTCCTGGGGTTGGGGCTGAAGCGTCACTCACTCGGAAGTGCTTGGAAGTGTCATCTACCCTGGCCAGCCCCAGGATCCCTCCCCTGCTAATCCGAACTGTGTCCTGAGCCCCAGTTATTGGCCAGGCCCCTGTTATAAACTGGTCATACCACCCATAGCCCTGCTGCTGCCACCTGCCCTACTGCCAGGCTTATATCTGCCCAGAGAACTATGCTGCCACTTCACATCCACTCACCACATCCACCTATATACTACCGCCTTTCGAAGTAAGGACCAACCTGGAAGATGCCAGAGTTGGCTATACCTCTTCGGACATTGATTTGGACAGCTCACCAACCCATGAAGGGGCCAGTCATTCAGCCTGTTAGTTTTCTACCCACTCCGAGGGTCCTCCCCTGCCCCACCAGATTGCTGCAGGGGCTTGGTGTGCCTGGCAGCCAAATTGTTGACATTTCCTTTTTTCCTATGCACTGGTTTTACACAGCTGTCACTTTACTTTCAAAATTGCAGCAGTCCCACAGATGTGTGCATTTGGACAAATAATACTAAAAACAAAACAAGCACTCAGCCCAGCTCCTCAGTACTACCTGGAAAAAGCATTGGCATTATTTTCAATAAATATCAAGCACTACAAAAAAAAAAAAAAAAAAGAAATGATTGTCTTTTAATGGTTAAGTGCTGTCACTGGCCTCTACCACTGTCACTTTGTCTATCATTATTCCCATGGAAATCAGGGAATACAGTCAATCCTAATATTCCCCACTGTCGTCTCCAGGCTGCTGGCGACAGCTACCTCAGGGCTCTGTCAGTGTTCTGATGTTCCCTTCACCAATGCATTTCATAAAGCCCTGGCAAAGGGTATGTCCTCTGGTTGCTCCAGGATGGCATGGGTAAGGCTTGACTGAGCAGATGGCAAAGAGGCAGTATTAATTAGACCATAACAACAGGCATAAACCTGGAGAGAGGCAAAGGAGAGAGAGAGAGAGATGTAATGCTCCCAATTCTCTGAGCTTTCAGATTCCTTAACACTGTACCAGAGAAGTTCTGCCCTTTAATCCTTATTGCCTATGTGCAGCTGTTGAGTTCAGGCTCCAAATCGCCAACATAGTATATTGCTTTTATGTCACTTTCAGATGCTCCAGCTAACATTAAATCCTGGATCCTGGGCAAGTGCACCCATAAAGATATACCCTGATCTTAACAAATATTTCATCCTCCTTGGGCAGACATCTGTAGAATTCCCACTCATAGATGTGTCCCAGATTCCTGCCTATGAAAATTAACAGGAGATGCTTGGTTATCTCTTAAATCAGACCTTGCACTGCTATGTGGGCTATGCTGAGATCTCTGGGCCCGGAGGGTTCAGAGCAGTGAAGCGGTGGCTGCTAAGAAGAATCTGCATACCTTTGTGAGGCCATTGCCCCAGGTTAAGTCATGAAATGTTTAATGCAGAGCAGCTTGCTTGGGGATTTGTGAGGACTACCTCTGCAAGGCAGAATGGTTTAGGAGGTGGTGAGTGGTTCAGAGCTCTCATTTATATCTGTCCAGATATTCTCATTGTACCATGTCTGAAGCCAACTTGACTTTATAACCTTTAATTAATTTAAATAACACATTTCCTTACTGTGTAAGGCCTTTTGAGGCAGATATTTTATTTGTACCGGTAAACCTCAGTGTTGATTAAATGAGATATGGGTCATCATATTAATTACCTCATAGGTATGGATTAAATGAGATCATATCCATGAAGCATTTAGAACTGTCCCTGCTACATGGTGAGTACTCAGTAAACATGGGCTGTTACTCCTGGACCTGGGAACTGAAGTCTCAGGAAGCAAGTCTCCGGCTCTGAGCTTGGCTTTAGTAGGAAAATGTCAGTGAGAAGAAGAGCAGAGCAAGTGCAGGGAGAATGGAAATGAGAGCATGATAAGACCCTGTTTACTTTTTGGAGTCTTATATGAAGCAAGAACAAAGCTGTTTTACCTGGTGAACAGGCAAAGTTCAGGGTAGGAGTTGTCTCACACCTAGGATAGCTGTTTCTGGAGGGCAGGGACAGGGTTGGGCATGACTTAGTAATAAGAGGCCAAGGCCTTGGGTGGAAATGAGATCTGGGGGCTCTTCGGGGAGCTGCTGCCTCCAAATCTGAATCAAGGAGACACCTGGTTATTTATAATGTATTAATCACTTCTCCCAGTCTGCTTGGAAAATATACAAAAACCCTTGGAAGAGTGAAAGATTATATTTGAGACATAATATGTCTGAGGCCAGATAATTACACTTTATTCTTGACTAGAAAGGCCTTGAATTGGGGATAAATGTGGAAAAGTGAGCAACAGCTAAAAGGTAAAGGATCCAGTGTGACCAAAAATCATTTATTCCAAACTGATTATGGCCTAGTTATGCTGATTGGAGTTACAGAAACATCATTGAATAAAATGTGGACTCTGCCTTCATAATGAGTCCAGTCTGCTGCTTTTACTGTGCTTTGGGCCGGAACTTCGATGATTAGTTACAGAGAAGGGCCGGGAAGAGAATCTGGGCTGTGATTAGATCTGGGAGTGACCTTTCTGGGGTGGAAGTTGAGGACAGATGAGTTCAGTGTTCTGTGGAGGAAGGGAGGGTCAGTAAGGATGCCATGCCAAGGCAGCATCTGAGTGGCATCTGGGAGAACTAGGCCAAGGAGCTTCTGTGATCCAAAATGTACATTTCCTGAGTATGTGTGTATGTGCACATGAGCTTGCTGTGACTCTGTGTGTGTGTGTGTGTGTGTGTGTGTGTGTGTGTGTGTATGTGTGTGTGTGTATGTTTGTGTGTGTTAGGTGATGTCCTTCTTGCATAACGGACGAACAGGTTATGCTGTGAGATGCAGAAAAGGAAAATGTGAGACTCTGGTTACCTTGGGGGCAGATTCTGTAATAAAAGTACAGATATTGGCAAGGGCTCCACCACCCAGGGAGGAATTCATGATAATGGTATAAAGCATTGCAAAAAAGGAAAAAGTAGAAGTATGTCTAAGAATAAAAGCACCATTTCGATCAAAAGTATTAAAAATTGGTAGGAATGCTGAACAAATATGAACTTCAGACTCCTGAATTCTCATTTTGGGCATAATAGACTTGAAATGGCCAATGAAATTATGCTATCAATGAGATGAAATTAGTCATATTAAAGGTCATAATCATTTAATCATCTTATATATACCAATATATCTTTGGATTTTTCTATTCATTTGAATAGATAAGCACTGCCATGTATTATGTCTGTGTTGCTGTTATCTTGCAGAATGGTATATAAAGCTAGAGTACTTTATGCACATGTATATTTGATTATTTCCTGCTATTAAAACATAGCTAAAACCTCATTAATTTGGATGTAGGCAGACTAGAGGGAAAAGTCTTGTTGAAATTAGTGGTATATTTGCATTTTCAAAATGCGTTTAAATATTTTTCTAGGACTTTTTTTTTTTTTTTTTTTTTTTT